ATGGTTGTTAGTATTTGCCTTATGTATTGAGGTGCTCCTATGTTGGGGGCATAAGTATTTACAATTGTTATATCTTCTTCTTGGATCGATCCCTTAATCATTATGTAGTGTCCTTCTTTGTCTCTTCTGATAGTCCTTATTTTAAAGTCTATTTTGTCTGATATGAGAATTGCTACTCCAGCTTTCTTTTGGTTTCCATTTGCATGGAATATCTTTTTCCATCCCCTTACTTTCAGTCTGTATGTGTCTCTAGGTCTGAAGTGGGTCTCTTGTAGACAGCATATATATGGGTCTTGTTTTTGTATCCATTCAGCCAATCTGTGTCTTTTGGTGGGAGCATTTAGTCCATTTACATTTAAGGTAATTATCGATATGTATGTTCCTATTCCCATTTTCTAAATTGTTTTGGGTTCGTTATTATAGGACTTTTCCTTCTCTTGTGTTTTTGTCTAGAGCAGTTCCTTTAGCATTTGTTGTAAAGCTGGTTTGGTGGTGCTGAACTCTCTCAGCTTTTGCTTGTCTGTAAAGGTTTTAATTTCTCCATCAAATCTGAATGAGATCCTTGCTGGGTAGAGTAATCTTGGTTGCAGGTTTTTCTCCTTCATCACTTTCAGTATGTCCTGCCACTCCCTTCTGGCTTGTAGAGTTTCTGCTGAGAGATCAGCTGTTAACCTTATGGGGATTCCCTTGTGTGTTATTTGTTGTTTTTCCCTTGCTGCTTTTAATATGCTTTCTTTGTATTTAGTTTTTGACAGTTTGATTAATATGTGTCTTGGCGTATTTCTCCTTGAATTTATCCTGTATGGGACTCTCTGTGCTTCCTGGACTTGATTAACGATTTCCTTTCCCATATTAGGGAAGTTTTCAACTATAATCTCTTCAAATATTTTCTCAGTCCCTTTCTTTTTCTCTTCTTCTTCTGGAACCCCTATAATTCGAATGTTGGTGCGTTTAATGTTGTCCCAGAGGTCTCTGAGACTGTCCTCAGTTCTTTTCATTCTTTTTTCTTTATTCTGCTCTGCAGTAGTTATTTCCACTATTTTATCTTCCAGGTCACTTATCCGTTCTTCTGCCTCATTTATTCTGCTATTGATCCCATCTAGAGTATTTTTCATTTCATTTATTGTGTTGTTCATCATTGTCTGTTTCATCTTTATTTCTTCTAGGTCCTTGTTAACTGCTTCTTGCATTTTGTCCATTCTATTTCCAAGATTTTGGATCATCTTTACTATCATTATTCTGAACTCTTTTTCAGGTAGACTGCCTATTTCCTCTTCATTTGTTAGGTCTGGTGGGTTTTTATCCTGCTCCTTCATCTGCTGTGTGTTTTTCTGTCTTCTCATTTTGCTTATCTTACTGTGATTGGGTTCACCTTTTTGCAGGCTGCAAGTTCGTAGCTCCCGTTGTTTTTGATGTCTGTCTCCAGTGGCTAAGGTTGGTTCAGTGGGTTGTGTAGGCTTCCTGGTGGAGGGGACTAGTGCCTGTGTTGTGGTGTATGAGGCTAGATCTTGTCTCTCTAGTGGGCAGGTCCACGTCTGGTGGTGTGTTTTGGGGTGTCTGTGGACTTATTATGATTTTAGGCAGCCTCTCTGCTAGTGGGTGGGGTTGTGTTCCTGTTTTGCTATATGGTTGGCATAGGTTGTCCAGCACTGTAGCTTGCTGGTCGTTGAGTGAAGCTGGGTGCTGGTGTTGAGATGGCGATCTCTGGGAGTTTTTCGCCGTTTGATATTATGTGGGGCTGGGAGGTCTCTTCTTGACGAGTGTTCTGAAGTTGGCTCTCCCACCTCAGAGGCAGAGTCCTGACTCCTGGCTGGAGCAGCAAGAGCCTTTCATCCACTCGGCTCCTCGGTTCACTATTAATGTTTTCATTTGAGTTCACGTTGAACAAGTCTTTGTCAGAGAAAATCAGCAACGCCAGTCTGAGAAGTCACACTGGGCTGTAGCCTTTATCATCTTCCAAAGGGTTCTGTCTTTTTTTTTTCCTTGGTGCTTGGTGCTTCCTAGTTTCACTTGCTCATAGGGTGCCGCGTGCAGAACCCACACCTCAGGCCTTTCAGGCCAGAGCTCCTGCCGCTGAGCCGACTCCTCAGCTTGGGATCTGTGCTGTAGAGTATGTTTTAATAAAGAGTTCGTTTTTCTCTTTAGGTAAGTCAGTAGTGAATAATACCAGCTATTTCCCCGAAATGAATCTTTGCTGCTTTCAACTAGGTGGCTGTTTCATTAATTCCACTCCTACCTCTGGCATGTGTCCCCCTCCCCGACCCTCAAATCTCACTGTGGGCTGTCATAGGAATTTAGGAGGCAGTCAGAATATGAGAGATAACTGAAAAAAAAAAATTCATTTTCACCTCCATTTCCATACACTATTAGAAAATAGTCTCATAAAACTTTTAAGCAGTGATGTCACTCTAAGTATATGGAAATCTCACATTTGACATATCTTCACACAGATTCATAGTTAAATTCTACAGGTCTTCTGGATGCTATGAGATTTAGAGTATAGTGTTAGGACTGGCCTAGAGTTGATAAGAGTTAAGCCCTACCTTTACTAATATGTTTAGCTTATGTTGCTTGGCCTTTTCTTAGGAAAGAGAGCCTTCTGCCCGATGGCTTGTTGGCATCTGTTAGTACACTGGGGCTGGGAAATAAGGATCATAGCTCTAGTTCTGCATTGACTAGCTTTAGGTTCTGGAGTGAGTCACATAGTACATCTCAGCCTTCTTCTCATCTGATGAGATGAAAGACTGGGCTGAGTATTCTCCAAGGGTCCTTGGAGCTCTATGCTCTGGGTCTGTGCTCTGAAGCTTTATGTTTGAGAAAATGCAGTCAGAGTAAAGGATTCATTACTAACTCATCCTTATCTGTACTGACAAAAATAAGAAAACTTCTTATATTGGGAAAATAATAGCTGTCTGTTTCCGTGTTCTGTTTTTTTTACCTTTCTATTTCTATTATGACCGACACAGAATCAGTGTCAGTTCACCCTTGGGAGATTTTTGCTGCCATTTGTTGACTGTTTTGGCTACAGTTGAATATCGTTTTGTGTCAGGACATTTATGTTTTGTTGAAGATTTTTATGATGTGTTATACCATGATACAATCACAAGGACATGGTTCTGGTTTTCCCTCATCAGAAAGATGCTTCCTAAGATGGAAAAATTAAAACTATTGGTGACATGAAACAATTTTTATATGAGTTTGGAATGAAGCTTTTCTGTCTCTTTGAAGTAAAGAAGAAAATTAGGAAAGGATTAGGAACAGAATCTAATGCCAGTATATCATGATGTTATGCATAGGGTAAATGTGTTCCTGTTCACCAAACTGAAATCCCAAACTAGGGGTATAATTTCAGCCCATGTTGTTACATTATCTTCATGTTTGTCAAACGTTCATTCAAAGTCCTTTTGAATCCACCTAAAGTGCTAATGCCTCATAAATTTTTAGAATGATTTGGTTCATAGGAGATAACTACTGTCGGTGTCCGAAGCTATTTTATGAGTATAATATTAATCTCCAGTCATTTCTGCAGTATCAACCATGAGATACATGGAACCATTGGATTTTTCTGAATGGTCAGTGATATATATCATCTGCCAGAGTGTAGCTTAAACAACAACAACTGCTGTCTTGTTTCTCAAGAATACCCACAGTTATCATATACCCTTTCACACATCCGTTACTATCCACATTTAGATAGACTCAAAATGAAGCCCTCTTTCTACCATAACAACTCTCAAATCCTACCAAATCTCATCAATTTATGTGTAATAAGAGCATGATGTAACCTGTTCAGTCATTAGTTTTTTCTTTAACACAAGGTTTTCGAAGGAAGTTCATTCTATTTTTACTTTATAAATCGTGTAATTTCTTTATAGTCCTAGGGTAAATTTGCCAAATGATCTGAAGTCTGTTCTTTCCCCAGCAGGGTTAGTCATCTCATTTTAGTGGAGCCTTGGGGTTTTCCTGAGCGACCAAACCTTGCTGATGAAGAGAGACCAATTCCAATTTGGATCAGAGCCTTGGGAGCGGCATTGACTCCCTTTAACCCTTTAGCTAGCCTCAGGATTGCAGGACCCTTTGGTGAGTGCTTGCTTGTATCTGTATCCTAGGAAAGCAAGATGTTTATACATAGCAATAGAGGAGTATTTGCTGATCACCATTGTTAGTTAAAATCTTAAAAACAAACAAAAAAACTGAACCTTACTTTTTCTCCTCCTCCTCTAAAAAGTACCAGTCCATGCATAAAGGTGAATGAAACCAGGCTCCTCTCCTTTAAAAGGAGTCTTCAGGGCTTCCCTGGTGGCACAGTGGTTAAGAATATGCCTGCCAATGCAGGGCACACAGGTTCGAGCCCTGGTCCGGAAAGATCTCACATGCCACAGCAACTGAGCCTGTGCTCCACAACTACGGAGCCTGTGCTCCAGAGCCCATGAGCCACAACTGCTGGACCTGCGTGCCACAACTACTGAAGCCTGTGCGCCTAGAGCCCGTGCTCCGCAACAAGAGAAGCCGCCACAGTGAGGAGCCCACACACCGCAACGAATAGTAGCCCCCGCTCACCGCAACTAGAGAAAAGCCCGTGTGCAGCAATGAAGACCCAACGCAGCCAAAAATAAAATAAATTTATTTTTTTTAAAAAGGTCTTTATATTGTAAACATTACAGATAATTAGCAAGCAGAAAAGGTGGGAAATGCTAAGGATGAGGTTAGGTGACCTTGAACATTCTGAAAAAGCCAAGCAAGTAGTGTCTTGGGGAAGTTTACCTGCTCACCCCAGGCATGGGAGTTTATCTGCTAGCCCCAGTGACCTGCTGAGGAGCCTTTGGTCAGTTAGTGATGTCCAGCTGACAGGTCACAAAGCCTGACCTGACCGATAACCGTGGGATAACAGGTATCATCACTCATTCCTTTCTTGCCTTGTAATGTCAGAGTGTTAAGAAGATAAAAGTCATCCTTTCTCACAAAGATTTGGGGGACTCCTGATTTGTGTTTCTGGTCATATTTTGAGTTTAGTCTCTGATTTAAGTTGTTTGACCCTCAGCTCTTCTGTCTCAGCCTCACAGCCAAGGGAATTTCCTTCCCTCGTTGTCTCAGGTGGTGATGGTCTGGACCTCTGCCTTTCCCTCTTACAGCTTATGTCAGTTAAGAGGGCTTTTGGCTGAAAGTGACTGAAGACCTCAGCGGTTTAAACCAGAAGGCCTTTTATTATTTCCTTAACAAGCAGTCTGGAAGCAGGTGGTTTTAGCATTTGTTCCCAAAGCTAGTTCCTTGATGTTAGGGTTTGGGTCTGTGTATGTGATTCTCTTGACCTTTTACCTCACAGTTGCTCAGTGGTTGCTAGGACAGGAAGCATGATCTCACAAGCTCTCCGAACAAGAAGAAAGGAAAGCATGATGCTCTTTGTCAGGGAAGGAGGTCTTCCCTGGGAGCCCCAGCAGACTTCTTATGTCTCTGCCCACCCCTAGTTCTTCCATCAGCAAAGAAGAAGAAATTTCTATGACTGATCAATCATCATTTGTTCCCAGGGGCTGGAGCGAGGGGCCTGCTTTCCTGAGCACGTTGCTGCCTAAATGATACACAAAAGTCAGGTTCTCTTAGCAAGAAAAGAATAGTGGTGTGGCGGGTGGGTGAGGGTGAGGCAATACCTGCTGCATAGGTGACTGTAGATTCTGCTGCCCCGTGTCCAGGCCTGCCCCTGCCCTTGCCTGGGTGCTGTCCCTTTGGGAGAGCAGCAGGACTGCAGCAATGAGAAGAGGGCACAGGGACTGAATTGGTGACCATGCTACATGCCCTCAGTACTCATGTAGGTAGCCTCTTTTCACCGCCCCCCCCCAGTAGAGCCACGCCTTCTTAGGTGTCTGGTCCTCCTTTGATGAGCTGCTTAAGAGCTTTATAGTCCTGACATGTAAGTGGATTTTGCTTGATCATAGTTACACAGGTAGCAATTATGGGAAAAGTAAAGCATAAAAAGAAGTTAGGAGATAATGATGGGGGAGGGAGGAAGCCTAGGAGGGGCCCTTTAAAGCCATGTCCTCTGCCTCCCATTGTTGTTTGCACATGGTGATGAGGGTGATGCAGAATGTCCACTGCATCATGAGAGTTCTTGGTGGAGCTGTGTAATTCCTTCAGAGATGGGAAGGCAGGGCCAGTGAAGAAGTAAGATCTTGCTAGAGTATTGGGCAGTGATAGCAGAGAGGGAAACCGGCCAGTCCCTGGGTCCCCGAAGGGAAAACAGTAACCAGACAAAAGTTCCTGCTCTTCATTCTCTTTGCTTTGGGGGCCTTGCGCCTGCCTCTCACCTCAGGGGTGGGACCGTGAGAGCCACTGTGGGTGGACTTAGCGGGGAGTTCTGCTAGTGTCCCGAGCAGAAACTCTGAATTAATTTTCCCAAGACATATTTATATACCAGTTCACTTCATATAGATGCTAATGTGTTGTAATTGTGGAAGAAATACAAATTATTAAGTTAATTTTATGTATGAGCTGTCCTATTCACCTCCCTTGTTTAATAGAATTTATTTTCCTACAAAAACAAGTCTTAGGCAACTGTTTTTGAGCTCCTAAAGCATATTAGTAAGTCAACATATGACAGACTTTTATTCTTATTTTAATCTTTCCTTAGGGAACTTGAGGAGAGCAGTTTCTAGGATCTGTGCTTTTTTCCACTTAAGATACATATTTGAATACATGTGTAATGTAGCATGTAGTGCTCATTATAGAGGCAAACACTAAACTCTTATATATTTGTATATAAATTATATTATAATTTAAAACATACATAGAATTTTAAATGTTTGTTTTCTATTAAATAGGTTTAAGTCTAGTACAGCGTTTAAGGCCTGATTTCAAACGGAAGTATTCTTCAATGTTCGCCGATGATACTGTGACAGAATACATTTACCACTGTAATGTCCAGACTCCGAGGTAAGGTTTATCTAAATTTACTATGTTTGTGTTTTAGACTTTTATTTTTTGAAAATATATGAATAGTCCAGGAGATTTTTATCAGTATGTAAATGACTAAATTTAAAAGGACAAGTAGTTAAATGACTAACACTTCTTAATTTACTCACCTATTCATGGAGCACCTACTATGTAAAACATTGTACTGGATTCTGATGAGAGATTAAAAAGCCAGACAGGGGCTTCCCTGGTGGCACAGTGGTTGAGAATCTGCCTGCCGATGCAGGGGACATGGGAAGATCCCACATGCCGCGGAGCCTGTGTGTCCGGAGCCTGTGCTCCGCAACGGGAGAGGCTACAACAGTGAGAGGCCCGCGTACCGCAAAACAAAAACAAAAACAAAAACAAAAGCCAGACATACTTTCTTCCCCTAAGGTGCCTGTGGATAGTTGAGGGAAGTCTTGGTCTTGGGCATCTTGTTAAGGTGGTCAGAGTTGACAGAGAAAGAAGAATTTCAAATAAAGCAGCATTCCCAGATGAGTATGAATGTTCTACAAAAAAGGAGTTCTGGGTTAAACAAGAATGGTTTTCTGTACCATGGATCTTCTTAGAACTGTTTTTTAAGCCAAAGGTTTTTTTTGTTATTGTTGTTTGTTTGTTTTTTATTTTCAGTTGTGTTGAGTCTTCATTGCTGCATGTGGGCTTTCTCTAGTTGGAGCGGGGGCTACTCCTCGTTGTGGTGCGTGGGCCTCTCATTGCGGCAGCCTCTCTTGTTGTGGAGCACGGGCTCTAGGCTCACGGGCCTCAGTAGCTGTAGCTTGTGGGCTCTAGAGCGCAGGCTCAGTAGTTGTGGCACATGGGCTTAGTTGCTCCGCGGCATGTGGGATCTTCCCAGACCAGGGCTAGAACCCGTGTCCCCTGCATTGGCAGGCGGATTCTTAACCACTGCGCCACCAGGAAAGCCCAAGCCGAAGGGTTTTGAATCTCCCAGGTGCGTGGGAGATACTAGGCAGCATTTTCGAGTTCATTTGCTGATTGCGCCCTTCTTTTACTCAGCACTTCTTCAAGTCTCTGTGTCAGCATGAGAAACACTGCTGCAGCGGTGAGGAGTCAGTGAGGGTCGAGGGGAAGGGGAGTCTGTGAATTTTTTTTTTTTTTTTTTTCTTGCGTTATGCGGGCCTCTCACTGTTGTGGCCTCTCCCATTTGCGGAGCACAGGCTCCGGACGCGCAGGCTCAGTGGCCATGGCTCACGGGCCCAGCCGCTCCACGGCATGTGGGATCTTCCCGAAACGGGGCACGAACCCGCGTCTCCTGCATCGGCAGGCGGACTCTCAAGCACTGCGCCACCAGGGAAGCCCGAGTCTGTGAATTTTGACAGTGATTATGAGAGAGAGCATAGTAGAGGGAGCAGGAGGGCCAAGCAAAGGTATTTCTTTTTCTTTTTTTAAAAAAATTACTTGTGGATGTTGTGTACAAGGCACTGGTGGAGAAAACAGAGCCTGAAAGTCTTGACGAGCTGGGAGGATCCTGGAAGACAGAGCCTACAGTCATTAGGGAGAGGATCAAGAATGGAGTATGATGATGATGAGAGCTCCAGTTCTTGTGCTGGGTTCTGTACCAGAATTATTGGAGGAGTTTGTCAAAAATGTGGTGCCTCAGCAAAGGAAACCATAAACAAGATGAAAAGGCAACCCTCAGAATGGGAGAAAATATTTGCAAACGAATCAACGGACAAAGGATTAACCTCCAAAATATACAAGAAGCTCATGCAGCTCAATATCAAAAAAAAAACCCAATCCAAAAATGGGCAGAAGACCTAAATAGACATTTCTCCAAAGAAGATATACAGATTGCCAACAAACACATGAAAGGATGCTCAACATCACTAATCATTAGAGAAAAGCAAATCAAAACTACACTGAGGTATCACCTCACACCAGTCAGAATGGCCATCATCAAAAAATCTACAAACAATAAATGCTGGAGAGGGTGTGGAGAAAAGGGAACCCTCTTGCACTGTTGGTAGCAATGTAAATTGATACAGCCACTTGGGAGAACAATATGGAGGTTCCTTAAAAAACTAAAAATAGAGCTACCATATGACCCAGCAATCTCACTACTGGACATATACCCTGAGAAAACCGTAATTCAAAAAGACATGTACCACAATGTTCACTGCAGCACTATTTATAATAGCCAGGACATGGAAGCAACCTAAGTATCCATCGACAGATGAATGGATAAAGAAGATGTGTCACATATATACAGTGGAATATTACTCAACCATAAAAAGAAACGAAATTGAGTTATTTGTAGTAAGGTGGATGGACCTAGAGTCTGTCATACAGAGTGAAGTAAGTCAGAAAGAGAAAAACAAATGCTGTATGCTAACACATATATATGGAATCTAAAAAAATGGTTCTGATGAACCTAGGGGTAGGACAGGAATAAAGATGCAGACGTAGAGAATGGACTTGAGGACACGGGGAGGGGGAGGGGTAAGCTGGGACAAAGTGAGAGAGTAGCATTGACTTATGTACACTACCTAATGTAAAATAGATAGCTAGTGGGAAGCAGCTGCATAGCACAGGGAGATCAGCTCGGTGCTTTGTGACCACCTAGAGGGGTGGGATAAGGAGGGTGGAAGGGAGACACAAGAAGGAGGGGATATGGGGATATATGTATGCATATAGCTGATTCACTTTGTTGTACAGCAGAAATTAACACAACATTGTAAAGCAATTATACTCCAATAAAGATGTAAAAAAAATAATAATTGTAATGAAGACCATTGAATATGACACACAAAAAAAAGAAAGTGGTACCTGAACTCTGTCTCTAAGACTCTAATTCAGCAGTTCTGGGCTGCATCTTTAACAAATGCTTCAGATGATTCTAGCCATAGACCATACTTTAAAATATAAAAGTGGTACCTCATCCTTTCTAAGACTGAAACTTGGGTGAAAGGCTGAGAGGTGAGATTCAGAGACAGCCTCCTTCACTTTTTTGTTGTTGTTGTTCCTCTCTCACTTCTGTCAGAGAATATGTACACCTACTTTATTAAAAACATTGAGGCCTTGAGAGCACTTGAGGTATAGCTGTAGCCTCAGTCTTTTTAATAAAGTAGGTTAGAGGTTCTCTGCCAAAGGTGAGGGAGGCTGGAGAGGTTTGGGAGTCCCCCAAGGGTTTGATGTTTTGTGACTCACCAGGCAGTTGGGTCTGATGGTTTAGGTCTACACACTTCATTGACTTGTTTCAACAATTTTTAGTGGCCTGTTCCAGGGACATCATCTGTTTTCCTGCATGGTCTTAGTGGTTTGTTCTTCACCTGCTCACATTTCATGATTATGTGTGCCTGTGTAATCCTAGTTTGTTGCCTTTCTTGTGGTGGAACTTGAATTCATAAACGGCCGTTCAGAGGCACACCTAGTACAAGGAAAGAAGAGAAATGACGGCAGAATGGATCTGTCCTAGGAGTTTGCCAAATGTTCTGTATTTTATGTGACGGTCAGTCAGCTGTGGCCATGAGAGAAGACATAGGACAGGCTCAAGAAAACAAAGTTTAGTATACTCACAGGTCCTAGAGAGGGGGTCACTGAATGCTTTGAAGGGTCAGGGGGGACGCACCAGATTTTGGTCAGGTGGCAGAAGACAGGAGTGAGGGAAAGTCCAGGCAGGAGCCTTTACTGGGTTCTGCAGGAGAGGCAAGGCAGCGCAGGGTAGACAGTGTAGGATTTGCTAGTCGAATAATTACAGTGGGCACTAAGATATAGGGGCGGTTTCTAGTTGTCTGGCACCTGGCCCTGGGATGATTAAGGCAGAGGAACATTGCCTCTGGGGATGTGCAAGCCAGACAGAAAAGGTGCAGCTCTGGATTGGTTAGTTTGCATATAAAGGCAGTCCCAGTTGAGTCCTTTGCTGTCTCTACGAATTGGCTAGCTCCAGGAGGCTGTCTCTCCCCAGCCGGAAAGGTTTTTAAAGATGGCAAACATCATAACAAGCAGAAAATTTTAAATATAAACAATACACAAAGAATACTTAAGCTGAATTTGTTCTTATCTTGGTATTGGTTTTGCCATTGTAGGTAAAATGCTGGTGCGATGAACATGTGGAAAAGCTACCTTGTAAATAAGTTAGAGTGAAAAAATATATTTCAGCTATCCCCACAGGAAATTTGATGATTTTATGATAGGGACTTAGGGTTACATGTTTTGATTCGGAAGATGATCTTTTTTTCTAGAGTTTTTTTAGAGTTTAAAGCATCCTTGTTTATCTAACAAAAGCATATATCTTCTGTGGGGTTTGTTCCTTACATTTCCTAGTACGCTGTTTTCTATGTAAGCTGCGGTTTTTCTTAAAAGGAGGAGAAGCTAAATATGAGTATGTTTTGGTGGAGGTGGGAGTGTGATACATACTTATCCCCCAGAATCATACATATGATTTTCTCCCTTTAAGTGGTGAGACTGCGTTCAGAAATATGACTGTCCCTTATGGATGGGCAAAAAGACCAATGCTGCAGCGAATTGGTAAAATGCACCCTGACATTCCAGTTTCGGTGATCTATGGCGCCCGATCCTGCATAGATGGCAATTCTGGCACCAGCATCCAGTCATTACGACCACATTCATATGTGAAGACTATAGTAAGTGTGTGGTTAATTTTTGGCTTATAGTTGTAGGCAAAGTCTGTTCTATTATCTTTGCTTTCAGTGAGATTTCAGGTCATCCCTGTGCTTTCACATCTAAGCTATACTTGCAGCTTTGGTCAGAGACCTGCTGTCACTTGTGACGGGGGCAGGGTTTGACCCATACAAATCTTCATGTCCAGACGGCAAATCCCCATTCTTAGGCCCTTGTCTGTCCTAGAGCCACAGCATCTCCACAGTGGGAGAGACTGAAAGAGGGACAGACAGGTCCAATAGCACTGCGACCACCTCCCAAGGCAGCACATGCTTACCTTGTTCAGTGTTTCTGTTGGCCCTATTGTTAGAGGTCAATTTAGAATGTTATTTTTGCATATGAAAATTTTAGTAAGGTTCACTGGATTTTCTCTTTATTCTCAGATCCTTTGTTTAATGAAGTATATAATAGTTACTACAGATCAGTATTGCTTTTTCTTCTATGTTTTATATATAGCTGTTCTCACTTTCATTCCTAAGTGTCTTTGTGTGTGTCATTGTGTTTTATTAAATGCTTTTACTCACTGACCATCTGACTGCTTTTCTTTTCCTAGGCCATTCTCGGAGCAGGGCATTATGTGTATGCAGATCAACCAGAAGACTTTAACCAGAAAGTGAAGGAGATCTGTGACACTGTGGACTGAGCACACTGCAGATGACGTGGGAAATGCACATGGGTAATACAGTCCCTCAGCAATAATTTGCAGTCTGCGATGCAGAGAGTAAGGAATCTCACATGAGAACCAGGCAGTCTTCTTGACTGTACTTTCCCCATGTTTCCTTTATGAAGCTGCTAGCACATTTAAACCAGGTAGTGCCTTCTAGAAGAATGACTTTCCTTTCTCCAAAATCAAAATGTCCAAGAGTCTCGAAATCTGGTAGCTGTAATAAAAGGTTATTTGTCCCTCTGCTGTACTGAAATATTGTAATTTTTCAACTGAAATTTTTATTTCTATCTAACTTTGCTATATCAAGTATTTTTTATATTGCAGTCTGTACTGCCAATTTTAAAAAGTGATTTTTGGGTTCATTATTTTATATAATGTAAAGGTGCACCTTATTTTCCTTGCTTATATATACACCATGTCTAATAACTGATAGAGTTAAACAAAATTTGGTGTGTTTTTAGGTAAAAATTTGTCACTTTCTTAGAATGCTTCACTTCATTTTTGAAATGGAGTGTTGAGACAGGGTTTTGGTTAAAAAGATGGGAGTTGATTTCTAGCATTGATTTTTCTGATTTTCCTTTGTTCTCTATTTAAGGCTGCAAAGCCATGTTCACCGTTTTAAATGTGATCCATCCTTAAGTATTTCAAGTACTGAAAAGCCTTAACTAAAAGTCTATCCTATTTTCCCCCATTAATTCTGTTATTCTTTTCTTTGAGCCTGCATGCAGCAGAAGGAACAGATTTCCTCACTTGAGGGGTCATTAAGACTGTTACCTTCCAGTAAGCCAAATCATATATTTTCATCTAATTCTTGTAGATGGGTGCTAAAACTGGATTACATTTTTACCACTAAAATATAAAAATCTGGTGCTATTACATCTCATGGCACCAGAAATCAGCTAGTACTTGGGGGGGGGGGTTTGTTTTGTTTTGTTTTTTTTTTAAGAGTTTTGTGTTGATTAAATAACTTACATACTTTATTACAAAAATTCTGTAAGGTTGATTGAACTATTTGACAGTAACTACCATACAAGGAAAGCTCTGAAACTGTGACAAAGCTCCATGTGGTAACTGGCTACTACTGAGAAGACCCTCCGCAAAAGAAAGTTGAATAGGATGGTCACCAGCAAGTCATCTTTGCCTTATGTTTTGCTTAATGTTGCTTGTCTAGGAGAAAGGTGGTTATGTAAATAAAAACAGTGAACTAGAGCAAATAATGACTTCATAGTTTTGATTGTTGCATTTAAAAATTGATTAATTAGGAAATCTTTAGTTGTTAGGAAATGTAAGGTTGTATCACTGTTGATTAACTGTGAGGAAGACGAATGTTCTGTTTTCAACAATATCTCCCCTGCCCAAAAAATAGGCACATTTCACTGAAGCATGACAAGTAGCTTCCCAGTGAGCAATTTGTCTCAGTTGTGGGATGGACTAGGTTAGTGCAGAACGTAACAGGAGAGTCAAGTCAGATTTCTCTACCTTGAGAATAAAAGTAGTCTTTACTTTTTTAGTTTGTATCTTGGATGGCCAGATTCAAACCTATAAGTGGTGCAGATAATTTGGGTCATTTTTGGTTTTTATTGGACACTCTCCAGTCTCTCTTAATTTTCCTTTGCTGGGTGAATGACAGTTTTTAGTCATACAGGAGGGTTTCTGCACAGGAAACGTGGTCTCAGACCTTAGAGGGAAGTTACTAAGTTCACTTAGTAGATGGGGCTTCTAGCCATAGATGTGCCAAGTGATTCAGGGAAAAGATGTACCCAGGTGTCAAGTGGAACTTACTTTCCTAACAACTAATTTTGGTTTCTTTGAAAAATATTGCCATAATTCTTTTTAAAAGGGGAATTTTACCTTGGGCTATTGTATATGTAATTTTGTGAAGATTGAGCTACCACAGAAGGTCCCAATCCTTGAATTCCTGAAAATAGAGTGGGTCCTAAATGTTTTCTTTAAAAAAAAAAATCTGGGCTTCCCTGGTGGCGCAGTGGTTGAGAGTCCGCCTGCCGATGCAGGGGACACGGGTTCGTGCCCCGGTCCAGGAAGATCCCACATGCCGCGGAGTGGCTGGGCCCGTGAGCCACGGCTGCTGAGCCTGCGCGTCGGAGCCTGTGCTCCGCAACAGGAGAGGCCACAATAGTACATTATGTACAATGTACTTTATTTTACAGAAAATAAAGGAAGGAGGGATAACACTACTAGATACTATAACATACTATAAAAAATTGAGAAAAAGTTCAGGAATTTAGTATATGATAAAGAAATCATCTTACTGGTGGAGAAGAAGACTTAAAAACTGGTGTGGAGACAAATGTGGTTAAACACTTGGAAGACAGTAAAATTGAATCCATTTCTCACACTGTACAGAAGGATAAAATCCAAATGGATTAGAGACCCAACTGTAAAAATGAAACCTTCTAAATAACTGGAAGAAAACATAGGTGAATTCCTTTATGACCGGAGAGTGGGGAAAACGTTCCTGTGACTGAATATCCAGAAGCAATAAAAGGAGGAGTTTATATCTAACTGAAAGAAAGAGATTTGGATAGCCAAAAAAAGCAAAGTTAAAAAGTAAATAATAAACTGGCAAAAATATTTGCAACGTTTATCACAAAGGGCTAATATAATATAGCCCTAATATGTGAAGAATTTCTAAACTTTGAAAAGAACCAGAAAGAACGGGCAAAAAGATACAGACAGGGACTTCCCTGCTGACGCAGCGGGTAAGGCTCCACGCTCCCAATGCAGGGGGCCCGGGTTCGATCCCTGGTCAGGGAACTAGATCCCACATGCATGCCACAGCTGAGAGTTCGCATGCCACAATTAAGGAGCCAGCAAGCCGCAACAAGGGAGCCCGCCTGCCAAAACTAAGACCCAGTACAACCAAATAAATAAATAAGATATGGACAGTTCATAGAAAATAAATTGCAAATAAATAGCTCTTAAACATATGAGGATACACATAATAAGAGAAATGCAAATTAAAACTACTGAGATACCATTTCTTGCCTGTTGGATTGTGAAAAGTCCAAGTTACACAGTGCACTCTGTTAGTGAGACTGGGGAAACAAGCACTCCAGAAAGTACAGATTCCTGTGGATGGAATTTGTTAATAACTATCAAAATTAAATATGAGTTTATCCCTCAACCAACAGGCTCCCTTCCAAAAATCTATCTGAGGTGTACTGGTAAAAATATGAGATGGTGTGTGCACAAAGATCTTCATTACAGTGCTATTTATAGCAGCCAAAGAGTGGAAGCCACCCAAATCTCCATCTAGAGGGGATTGATGGAAGAAACCTGGCACATACATACAGTGGAATACTGCACAGCTGTGAAAAAAATGAGGGAGCATCTCCAGGAGGGAAGAGGGTGAAGGCTGCAGAACCACACACACATGGAGACACATCTCAGTTGGTCTCTCTGCCAGTTGAATGCCTGAAAAGGGAGGTGGGATGGCCTTCGGATTGTACCAGCTTAGCTGGCATTGCTAACCAACTGTTGCAGGCTCTGAAAATAAAAACAATCTTGAACTCCTGCCCCTCCCTCGCCAAAAAAAAAAATGCTGTCCTGGAGTCCTCTTCAGAGTATAGGAAGTGAAAGTGAAGAGCAGGTTTGTTGGGCTACCTGATTGTGTAAGAAAGGAGGAGACAAATGAAAAAACGAGCATGCATTTACTTATGTTAAAAAAAAAAAAGAAAAATGGAAGGATTAATTACATCAATGACTAATAAATCTGTTCCCTTAGGGGTGGTGGTAGGGAGCTGGCCAGAGATGGCACCTAGATCTGTATCTTGTTTTTTACTTAGGGACCCTGTCAGTGTTTTCTATAATTAAAAAAGCAACTCTTAAAACTAAAACTTAACTATCTATCAAATTGGTGGTGTAACCACACACAGAACAATTACTTCAAGCAACTTTAAAGCCCAGCATTTGTCTGCACTTTCCTAATGGAATATATCCTGTGAACTACAATGAAAACTTAAACTGCATTTAGTATTTTTATTTTTAGCAATGATATTGGTGTTGTCCTTTTGAAACTCTATGTATTTACATAATGATAAAGCAAATATTAAGTCAAAGGAAGTAAAAGCCAAGATTTTTAGTACAAGAAAGAAGAGATACAAGAATAAAATTAAGTAAAAACCCTGTAATTGTATATTTCAATTGGAAGTACCAGCAAAATACAGTGATTTATTTTTCCTAAAGAATACATGTTGCATAGCTTTATCCACTGAAAAGGCCTAGAAGCAATCAGAAGTCAGTGGCAAGGCATACCCTAGCACCAAGACTGTCCCATTAGAGGGGGCAGGGAAGGGACAGGATGAGGCTAGACCATCTTGTGTCTGAAAGCAAGGAAGCAATCAGAGTAAGGTCATGTCAAAAGGACCCAGGAGTCAACTAGAAGGGGCTTCCATTGGCCAAAGGTGGAACAATTTGAGCATCAAAAAGAATAACAATTGACATGAAATATATAAAAATCTATGAGGTCATAATGATAGTTTAAAAAAAATCTATTAGTCACCTTTGGAGATTATTAGGGCACCAACTTACCATTTTGAAAATTAACTGGAAAAATGAAGTATTTATCCTGATTTCTTTGTGTACCAGGTTAATCTGATAAGAACGTTTTTCACTTAAGAATCACAACTAAATGCCAGAGGATTGATAGGATTAGGAAATCACCCTATTTAGTAACAGTACGTTACTAAATAACCAAGAGATCACTGAAGAAATCAAAGAGGAAATAAAAAAATACCTAGAGACAAATTACAACAAAAATACGATGATCCAAAACCTGTGGGATGCAGCAAAAGCAGTTCTAAAGGGAAGTTTGTAGCAGTACAGTCCTACCTCAAGAAACAAGAAAAATCTCAAACAATCTAGCCTTACACCTAAAGGAACTAGCAAAAGAACAAACAAATCCCAAAGTACGTAGAAAAAAAGAAATCATAAAGATCAGAGCAGAAATAAATGAAATAGAAACAAAACAATAGCAAAAATCAATAAAACTAGAAGATTGTTCTTTGGGAAGATAAACAAAATTGATAAACCTTTAGCCAAACTCATCAAGAAAAAGAGGGAGAGGATTCAAATCAATAAAATTAGAAATGAAAAAGGAGAAGTTACAACAGACACCGCAGATATACGAAGCATCATAAGGGACTACTACAAGCAACTCTATGCCAATAAAATGAACAACCTGGAAGAAGCAGACAAGTTCTTAGAAAGGTATAACCTTCCAAGACT